TGGTGTTAAATGGGTTAGGTCAGTCCGGTAGAGGCTAAACATGGGTTTACTTAAGAATAGTCGTTTATCGTTGAAGGATTGTTTATAGATTTTGATCAAACAACTGAACAATACGAAATGATTTACTTAATTTTTGTCCATTTTTGTAAGTTTCCATCAGTTTCGGCAAAACAAAAAAATGATTTTCTGCATGGATTTGATTTATATTCAGCAAAATATTTCTTGCCACTTGAAATCAAGATCCAGCACAATATTTGGTGGTCCAAAAGTTTTAGGGAATTGGTTTCTATTGTTCTTTACTTCTTTTTATCTCTTATCGAGAAAATTTTGGACAGAAACAACAGCCCTGAAAACTCTCTTGTTCTTTTTATGGATGCGCCGCTAAGTTTGAAAATTGTAATAAGGGTGTGTGGCCTTTAATTGTTTAGGGCAGATCAGGGTGAGGGTGTCTGGCGTGGCGGGTGGGGTCGGGTCGGGTGGGGTTGGGGGCCGTGAAACTCTGATCGATCTGCAATGCATCCGCTGAGGTTGCTCAACTCAATTGAATCGAAACTTTTTAAAGTCGAATATTAAACAACCCATTCGTACTTTTTTTAAAAAATCTCGACTTTACCGACAACGACTTTGAAAACTCTTTACCTCACTTCACGGGCGCATCACTAAACTTGGAAAATCATACATAAAAAAGTGTGTGACCTTTATTTGTTTTGTATCGAATTTACGCAAGGTTGGAATCAAATTAGTTTACACCTTTAATAATCATTGAAGACTGAGGGAACCAATTGAATTGTTGCACCTACGTTGATGGACGATATTTCTATTTTTACTAGTGAAATTTTGACTATTTATTGTCAGAAGTCAACTTCCATGGATATGTTTTTCAAAGTCTCCCTATATTGGATTCTTTATTTGCTTCGCTGGATTCACAAAATGTGTTTCTTACTTTAGTTTCTTAGACAGCCACCAAAAAGGGTCCCTCCAAAATTCAGAAAATAAAATGAAAAATATTTTCAATCACTTCCAAAAATCTTGACCATGATTTTCTTCCACCTTTTGTGGCGTGTCAAATGGGCAGGTAACAGGACATTTCATAATGTTGTTTAAGAATGAAAGGTAAATTTTATTTAAAATTCTTGAAAATATTTATGTCATTTAGTTGAGAATATATTAAAGTGGTTATATTGCACATTTTATTTTCACTTAAATTTCTCAATCTTTGCTCGTTGTAGCAATTATTTTCTTAATTTTTTCGTCGAATTTTTATTTTCAACTTTCCATTAATTAATACATTCTGTTTTATGTGATAATTTATGCTTTCATGCTTTCAAATGAGGACAAAATATTTTATCGTATTTTTTATATTTTTATTTTTTCAAAAATATGATGGAAAAATAATTTGTTATACGCTATTCAACGGACTTTTTAAACGTAAACTGTTATCAAATACAAAATGTGTTCACTAATAGAAAGTTTGAGGATAAAAATGTCATGAAAAATCATTAGGGACATAGATGCTACAATGAGTAAAGATGAAAAGCCTTAAGTGTAATTAAAATGTGGTGTAAAGTAAAGGGTGTGAATATAATTACCCTTCCATCAAAATTTTACTTAATCTCTATATGATTTGACATTTTTATTCGTATCATTATGTAATTATTTTTATTTATAGAATGTAATTATCAAGTATTCTTCTTTGTAATTCTAAAATATATATTTTTTTATTTATATTGACACAAATTCTCTTATTCGTCTTTTCTAGCGGATATTATTAATGCATGACTATACTACAAAAAATTCTAATCACTTAACCATTTCACTTGATAAGAACTACGAGATCACTCATTTCATTTTTGGGGTCGTGGAGGATCATTCCATTCGAGAATTCCATCCATTTTTGACTTTTTAAAGTTTGTAATGGATATATTGGCGTTAAATGAATATAAATATTTGTAACTAGAAATATTTATTATTTAGTTTCAAAATGAATTTTTAAAATTCAATGGGAACTAAATACCTTATGAGACTCCCCTCTATAATGGAGTCACAGAAATATAAATTCACACTGAAATTAAAATTTATTTCTTTTGCTCAAAACAATCAAAGATGATTCTTGAATCTTAGCCTTAAAATTAGAAATGAATTCAATTAATTTGATATGATTCCAATCAAGCACAAATGATTTTTGAAGAAAATGCTAACCTTATTCGCTTGGTTAGTTATTTGCATCTCACGTAAAAACATCGCACAATGAAATGATCCGTACTTCTTATTATCAAGTCTCGATCAATTTCCATGATTTAATCTTTAAAAACATAAAAATCGTTTTTAATGATCGATTTGTCCCCAGTTATTTTTAAATTAAAAAGGGCTTGTTCATCTTTGGTAAATTTCATAAATAGTTCTATAACTAGTAAATGCAAAATATTTTAAGACATAATCATTGGACGGACTATACCTTTGTCTATGCAACGTGTGGAAGTATCGAGTGGTCCTTTTCAATTATAATTAATTATATTACAATTACATTTAGAGCATAATTACGTAGCATTGTGATCACGAATTGCAATTATTTGGAGTAGAATTTACGTTTATCCTAGAAAACAAGTGCACATCATTATATGTATACATTTTGAGTATGCAACATTATCGAGGAGTTGAGATATTTTTGTTTTAGGTTTCTCCAATAATTAATTTGGACATTTAGAATGTAATTGGTAGGAGACACATTCGAGAATGTCAAAGTTCCTAGGATTTTATTATCAATGTAAGTGCTAGTATAGTACTTAAATTGTTGAAACATATTATATATAAATATAAAAAATATCGCGTTTACAAGAAAGATATAAATTCAATACAACATACTGATAGAAAGAAAGAAGAGAGAGAGAGAGAGAATCGATACAACTTTATATGGTTGCAAATGATTTAATTACATAATATTATCGAGTAAATCTAGCATACGAGCATAATAGCCAAAAAAAAAAAACGAGAGGAAGGATTTGTATATTTCACCCAAATTTATTAAGAATAAGAAGTAACTTTTTGTTATCATCATCATCATCTAATATTTTCATCAGACCTGTTCTTCTGCCTATGGTGGAAAGTTTTATTATGCCCACTCGGAGACTGCCCAACGTTGGGTTCTTACATTTGGAGAGAACCTAACGCTGCATCAGCAGGTGGACAATCTTATTCTGTCCACCATGGACAGGAGAACAATTCCAATATTTTCATATACTAGCTAATATTGACTTAAATGTTGTTGATACATCTTGCTTGCTACTTATTCCAGGTTTGTTTGACATGATTATTGCTTTTACTTCTTGTAGAAATTGTTTTGAAGGAAGCTATCTTAATTTTCAGTTTGAAACTAATTTTTATATGCAATTTAAAAACTCTTTTAACTATCAAAAGTACTTTCATAAAATTAACAAAACGAGTCCAAAATCAACTTTGAATCTGAGAAGCTCATTTTAACTTTTCAAAAGTCATATTCAAATGGGCCCTACTCAACGTTCAAAATGTGAAATGGGATAAGTTGACTCAGTCCAATTAGCCTTCGGTAGAGAAATTTCCGGCATGATTCATCTGAAGTTCTCTATTCATTCAACAATTTTGACAAATAAAAATTAGGTTAGTATTTCCAAAAAAAGACCGGCTTTGATAGGTCCTATACTATAATGCAATTCCATAATTATTGACTGCAAGACACAATTTCTTGTCCATACTAATTAATGTTAGCCATTCTATATTTTTCTCAACCTTAAATACCAAAGTCCAAATTTTCCTATGTACCTTTGAATTATTGCCGCCACACGCATTGAATTTTTGTCACTTGTCTACACAACATCAAATGCACATACTATAATGTCCAATTTCAATGTGACAAATATCTTTTGAGTTAAAGAAAAAGATTTTGTAATTTAATTCCAACAACAATAACCACCCAATTCAATTTTTAGTCGAAGTACAACATACGAAAGAATTCCACCTTGGCAGCAAATATATATATATATATATATAAAGAGGT